GGATTCTCTCTCATTATTGATGTTTCTATCTTTCTCTTTTTCTCTAAAGTCAAAAAAAATTTTTTAAAAAAAGATGCAATATGAAATTAAAAATGAGAGTTCCACAGCAGCACAATTTACAATAGCTAAGATGTGGAAATAGCCTAAGTGCCCATCAGCAGATGAGTGGATAAGGAGGGTGAGGGCATGTGCTGGGGGGTGGAAACGGCTGGGGAGAGTTCAATGGGGGGAGGTGGAGACATATGTAATTCTTTAAACAATAAAGAATTTTTTAAAAAGATGCAATGTGATCAACTTCCTGGTAGAGCTAAGCACTGAACAGATTGGAAACACATAGCAGAGAACAGCTACTTAACTTTCTTGGCTTGGCTCCCTTTTCCCTCTGAAATTTCAAGTCATCCTCTCTCTGTGTGTCAAATGATGGGTCCCATATTTCTTTGTGTTAATAAAATAATCACCACATCGAGTGATTTTACCTCCCTACAACCCTGAAAGTTCAAATTGATAAGTCTGTTACATATCACTTTTTTAGATATTTTACTTCCCTACCAACTTTAATAAGTAATAAAAAAACCCTAAAACCTACAAAGAATTTTTTACACAAAAGAAGTTAACAAATACAATATAAAGGTGAAAAGAAAATAATTTTTTTCTTAAATTTGTTATTTTACTTTTATTTTCTTTGACTTCTCTATCTTAAAATCAGAGCTTATACTTACTCTTTAAAAGCTAGTACTCATAGCCTTTGACATTAGGGTCTCTTCTCCTCTGAAACATCACAGGCATGTTCTTTACTGAAACTTGTCACTTGACCACTATGCTTATAGGAGCTGATGTCTATGAATAAACACAATCTAAGTTGCCATGGCCAATAGGTCACAGAGGAGGCCTGGCTTTGGAGTTTCATCTGCCTTTTCTGAACAGATTAATGGAAGCGCCTTCCCTTGGAGTCAGAACCAGGACATTCACACTCACCTTTATATGAACTATACTCAGGGTGACTGTGTAATTTACCATCCAAATTAGGTCACTTTGCCAGTGAAGGAGGGTGCTATTAATAATGGCTAGTATTCTGGAAAAACAGGTGTAAACCAGGTCATCCAGGGTAAACCTCCATGAATGTTTATCCTGTGTATGAAAAATCGTTTACATTCATTGATTGACTTGCTAGGGGTCTGGTGCAAACACGTGCTCCTCCAGAGGACTGGCGATGGAGCTGTCAATCAGCTATGTCCCCATGGCAGGAGAATCGAGTTGCAAATTTTCAGAGCTGCCACTATCGATTTCTTGGCAGGTTATAGAGCTCTGCTTCTCTCTATAAAAGGCTCCAGTTAATTATTTATTTTTCATGATTAGAAATGTATTTCAGAGCACTATCTGGTGGTACATAGGAAAAGATAGGAATGAATGTCAAATTAACTCATTTTAGTGTATTTATATTTCAAAATTATACAGAAAGATTATAGTATACTATAAATATACCAAAAATAAATAAATTTTGTATGTCTATATTGTAGCCTACTTGGTATATTCATTAGGCTACTTTCCATGAAATCTTTAGCCATTCTATAAATCAGTTTTAATAATAGTCGAGTGCTACATGTTATTTTTCATGTAACATTAATTGCATCATATGAATAAATCATAATTTACTTAAACATAGTCATAATGTTTAAAATTTGCCTGCCACAGATAATACTGTGATAAGCATCTCTATATATAATGGTTTTCTGTATCATTTATTTTATTTTTTTCCACCACCATTTATCCCCTCTATATTCCCCCTTGCCCCTAGATCACCTCACTGTTGCCCATGTCCATGAATTATGTATCATTTTATTAGTTTTTCCTTTATTACAAAAATAAGCTAGTTTAGATCATGAATGTAATGTTATTTGTCTCTGTGTTTCAGCACATACCACATTTGTAGTGTGTAATATTTCTCCATATGTGAATTACAGAGTTAGATTGGATATGTACACACGTTAGATAGTCTTTCTCAACAGGGAGGGTGTGTGATTCCTTGAGATTATTATTTTAACTTCTCGGAACTCAAAGGCAGAGACAAGGCATCCTACCCATGCACAATCCGAATGTACGTCAAATTACTTACCATCATTGATGCATGTGATTATGAATTAGAAAACTCCAAATCCAACCACCCTGATTTGTATAATAAAGATAAAATGAAATTATATTGTGCAAACTTCAAAGGAAAGAAGAAACAAGTCTTCAAGCTCAATCAATATTGTTTTAAATCCTGGCTATATTATTTAATAGTGTATGTCCTTGGAAATCTATAAACCCAATTTACATCTGTAAAATAGAAATACTAATATTTTCTTCAATACATTACTCTGGAGTAAATTACATAACATGTGGAAGGAACTTAGTACATAGTTTCTGAAACATGGCAGGCACTTAATGGTGGATTATATGCTTTCAGTAGCAGGTAATAACAACAATACATCAAATTTAAAATAAATAATTAGTAAATTAAAATATTCAAGAACTTAAATGTAAATAAGATTATGTGCATTCAGGTTATTTAAAGAAGTCCTTGAACATGTGTAGAATTTCTCAGAATATTACTCAAAATCATAATTGTTTTCCCCAAATGGTTTGAACACTCACTCATTCAACACATATAAATGCTACAAATATCTTTCAGTCTGTGAAAGACATTGAGATGTCAGATATGTTATATTAACTATTTTAGAAATGATGACAAGTACTCGTTAATCGTCAAAATATTACCAATATAATATTCAAGGTAATTAATGAATAGATTGAAGATCATTCTAAAAGTTTGGGAAGAAGATGTGGAAAAGTTAACCTCAATAAATGTTTTCCTGTTATTGCCAAAAATGAGGAAAGATAGCTTTGTACTATCATCGAGGTCAATTTTCATATTACCTCTGAGCTAGCTGCGAAAAGGGGAATATAAATCACTATGAGCATGCACTTTCTAGAATTCAAGGATGTTGATACTCCAACAACTCCAAGTGTGTGAAAGGAAATCACACTACTGTGCCAGTAGTATATACTTTTTGAAGTTAAATATGTCACAACAATTAATATAAATGAGCACTTCAAAATTCTGTTAACTAAATGCACCCTAATAGTTTACATAGGAATAAAAATTGTATACTGTAGTAATAAACTACCCCCAAATCTCATGGCTTACAACACTAATTGCTTATTTCTTGTTGAGTCTATATGTTCATGTTGTGTTGACTGTGGCTCTGTCCATGTTACCTTCCCTCCCAGAGTGAAAGAATAGAGTAGCCTCTGTCAGTATGGCTAGTCTTCTGGTAGCAGGACAAGAGCTATCTGGTGAATCATGCACTTACATTAAGCCTCCTGCTCAATAGTGACACATATCACATATTTTTCATTAGTCAAAGCAAATCACAGGCCACACAAGTTCAGTGAGACAGGGGTGTATAATCGTCTTGCAAGAAGGAGCATTTTAAGCCTAAATTAGAAGTCAGTGGAGTGGAAAGTATAATTCTCTGACAGGAAGGAGAGGAGAAGTATTGAGAATAATAACGCACTCCATTATCTATTGATAATGACTATCAGTAGGTGTATTGTGAAGATCAAATGAGATAGTAAATAATGTAAACTTAAGTTTTAATTTCTAATGCTAATTTATACTAATTAAGGATGAAGAGGGTGAATGTTAACTAAACTTATTTTGGTAATCATTTTTTCACATATTATATACACATATTATATCAATATACGCATATTATATCATTATGTCATATACCTTCAACTTATACAATATTCTTTGTCAATTATATCTGAATAAAACTGGACTTAAAAAAAATATAAATGGTGTGGGAGCTGCATTAGATAAGATTAGATCCAAAGCAAACTAGGTCTGAATGGATAACTTGCATATTCACTATTGGACAGAAGCTAATCTTTGAAATATATATAAATAAAAATTATAGTATGAATTTACCTGATTTTACTAGTATAAGTGTTTAGTGTTTTGACCCTTTTCACTGGAGGACTAAGGCTTATTACAGTAGGGTGTGTAAAGTCCCAGATTATCTTCTTCAAACAAAGATGGAGTTACTTATGGGTAATACAGTAAGAGTAGCCTGTTACTTATGATGAGTTGTAGATAAATATCTATATTACTTCATTTTCTACCACGATTCAGAAGTAAGCTGAATCCTTAGCAGGAAGCATTAACTGGAGAGTTAGAGCTTGATTCTTAGGGTTGTGCTTGGGCTTGGCTAGCACTGTTTCCAGTTTTCTACTGGAAAATAGCAGTGGGCTACTGGGTCCCTAAATTCTAACTTCTAGTTCTAAAATTTGAGAGTCATACCCCTCAAATATATGTGGAGGGTGTCACCCATGTTGTATTTGATGATACGACAACCTCTGACAAAGTTTTTGGAAAAATATCTCTCGGTTCTTCTAACTTAAAAGGAAAAAGCATAGATGTGTTCAATACTTGTTTCTTTTTACTTCAACCCTTTCTTCACTCATTTTTCCTCAATTCTTCTTTGGTATGCATGCATTTGTATACATTTTATCACACTAATGTTACAACTTTACCTGTATTCATTTATCTTTTAATTTTTTTGGGGGGGTGTGGTTATTTAGAGTCACCACATAAAGTTGTCCAGATTGTATCCTGCACAGATCTAGGGCCACCATTCACATTTTCAGTGAATAATTTCTAAGGCCTTTAAGGACCATTGTGGGGATGGCCAATAATTATTTTATTATTATAATGTTATTTTACTTTAATATTGTGGTACATTTCTTGTAATAAATTTTTAACACTTGAGTGTTATTATATTAGAGAGTTCATATGATGAATACACTAGTCTTACTGAATATAAAATAATTCTAACACTTTTCCCCCCCTCTTACTTACTATTCCCTAACAAAAGTATAATAATCTTGAACTATTTTTTTAAAATACCCAATTTGGTTAACTTCCTATCATCTGTTTTATTTTTGGAATTATTTAGTGTTGATAAAGCAGATGATGAAGACGATGAGGATTTAACAGTGAACAAAACCTGGGTCCTGGCACCAAAGATTCATGAAGGGGATATAACACAAATTCTCAACTCATTGCTGCAAGGCTATGACAATAAACTTCGCCCAGATATAGGAGGTAAGTGTTAAGTTATCTTCTGAGATTGGGGGACCATAAAAACCATATTTATTGATGTTATTTTAATTTTAGATCACATATTTCTTGAGTGTCTGATGTATGTTAGAGTGCTGGGTTTGACAAGTATTAATTGGAATAGCACTAATTTGGGAGGTTCATAGTCTGATGTGAGAATAAAGGCATGTAAACTTTTCTGATGTAATTACTTTACAACTGCTACAATAAAAGATGCAACAGCAAAGTTTAATGAAACTATCTGAGGATTAGAGAGATATTTTATAAAAGACAATATTTGAGAAATAGGAATTCTAATTTTGTGCCAAAGCCACACTGTGTGTTAATTAATGTAGAATTATAATCCTTGATATTATCGTATATAATAGAAGGGTAATATGCAAATTTTCCCCTCGACCGAGAGTTAGACCCGAGTTCAACCAGGGGGTGGGGTCAGCCCCCCAACTGCCCAGGGCCCCTCCCCCACGCCAGACCCCACCCATGCACGAATTTGTGCACTGGGCCTCTAGTATTTAGTATAAGTAATCCTACTTTGTTCTACTTTAAGATTGCTATTCTAGGTTGTTTGCCTTTATGTGTAAACTTTATAACATAATTTACTTCTAAGCTCCTCCACCAAATCCTTAAAACAAACAAAATATATAAAACAGCAAATATTATTTTTGAGATTGCATTAAATATATGGCCAATTACAGGGAAATTGAAATCTTTACTTTTTTGAATTTTTATCATACCAAATTCATGAGCATTATATATTGTTCAATGTACATATTTCTTTTTTATTAATATTTCCTGCCTGTAAATATTAAATATATTTTACTAGATTTAATTCTCTATATTTGGAGTTTCAATGCAAGTGTAAATACATTGCATAAATACACTTCTGTTGATATCAGAAAACCAGGATATAGCACTCATATCTAAAACTTTCTACACTGTAATTGTGAAAAGTATGCCCTACATATAAAAATGTCCTCAGGAATCATTAACTTCTTGGCATAGAACTATTCAGTCCTCAGTATCATGAAATAAAGAACAGGTAATCAGTGTTTGTTGATTTATCAAATGAACTGAAAATATCTAATTAAGACTTGTATGTTGCACTTAATTGCTTATAAATGGTAAGGAATATACTGAGGATTGAAACTAATAAACCTATTGCCTAGTTATTAATTGATTTTCATAAGAACCATTCTGTAAATCTAGCTATAATTCTCTTAATTATATTATAGTTATTGGCTGCAATTCATAGCTAGTCAAAATAAATGGCAAGCGGTTAAAGCACCTCCTCTCAGAAATCATTAGCCTAAGTTAAATTATAAAACCTTCTATAAATCATATGAGCTACTTTTATTTAAGAAATCTAATTGTTGGATAGCAAATCAAATTACACTGTCATGTATAGGTCTGTGAACCTATAGTTTTGTACTGAAACTATTTCTAACGAATCATTTCTTTTTCTAGCTAAGAAATATGTATGCCATAAAATAAATTCTTTGCTTGACAAAAGACAAACTATTTAAATGTTATGGGTTTCTAAGTGTAGTGTTGTTGGTTTTTTTAATTGCAGAGGGTAAGATTAAATGTTGTTATATAATTGTACAGGCTCTGTGTTTCAAAATGCTTCAGGTTTCCCACTGAAGCTTGCTAGCCTGGGAGCATTGCCAGATGGGAAGGTACAGAGACAGGGAGACATGGGACTGAACCGAGACTCAGGCAGGCAGACTCAGCCAGGTATTAGAGGAGGAGGAGCATCCTGCAGGGGGAACATACAATCTGAATTGTAAGAGGCCAGGAATACTAGGCCAGGAAGAGAAATTAAAGTATAGAAAGGAGAACTGAGTAAATATTACCAAAAAAATGCTACCTTAGAAACATTTATACTACAAGTTGTTTTTTCCTGCTTTATTTCACTTGCACTATTGCCGGGAGCCGGTCCAAGGTCACCTCTCCCAGAAAGGTTGTTTCCCCAGGTAGGGATTTTCCCCTGAAGTTGGGGAGGGAATAAAACCTCTTAACTGTCAGGCGGGTAATTAATCACTTTAACTACGAACAATCATGCTTAAGTACATAATCTTTACTCCCTGTGCCAGCTTAGGCCCAATCCCCCTGGGAAGCGGGCCTAGTCCAGCAAGTGGACATTGCCCAAGGGGTACTGGACTGCAAGAGGGTGCAGGCTGGGCTGAAGGACCCCCCTCCCCCCTAGTGCACAAATTTTTGTGCACCAGGCCTCTAGTCTCTTTATAAAACTTTGTGAGTTTTATATAGATTTTATAAAAATCTATATAAAATAGATTTTTTTCCTTATCTACTTTGTGAAACTTTTACAGATATTCCTCAAGAAACATTTGATATATCATACAATAAACCATTTATATCATATTTTGTGAAGAAAGGGGGATAAAAGAAATTATGTGAGAATGTTTCTCATAGCAAACAAAAATCTTCTGAGTAGAAATTATCATTATCATTGTTATGGTAAATCTCATTATAGGAACCAAAAGTACCTGGCAAAGGTTGAAAGCCTAAATCATAATCAAATATGGCATGATTATGGATATACTTTAATCATATCATTTGATAGATCTTTATAATACTGATCTGTGCTACACATTTTGATAGAATATAAAATACTGTATATACAACTTAAAGACATACTGATAAAACACAAATGGTTGTATAAACATGAAGTTCATATGACATTCATAACATATACTCTGTGAGAATTAAGTAAAAATCTACCTTAAACTGGAGCCAACTATGAACAACCTACAGAAATATTGTTAACAACAAGGGAGGAACAGGGTAAGGAAAACAATAGGCTCTAAAATCCATGCAAATTCTAAAATTCTGTGACTGTTATAGAGAAAATTATCTAGCAATTTTTATTGAATTCACTTCCTTAGATTTAATAAATTATTTAGGTATTTTTAAAACATTTTTAAGTTGTGCACTAGGATGTCTTCAGTCAAAAATATACATTGTAAAATCAACTTGTAAACTGAAAGGTGTTTATGTTTCTGTAACATTTTTTGTTCCTTCATTTTCTAGTGAGGGATGCTTTATTATTTAAAAAAAATAAATAGTAATACTCATTTAGATTTTTAAAACTAAGTTCTATTTAATGAAACCTCTGATCATGTCCTTGACCATTTTTTCTTTGATGTTTTGCAGTGAGGCCCACAGTAATTGAAACTGATATTTATGTAAACAGCATTGGACCAGTTGATCCCATAAATATGGTGAGTAATGAACATTAAAAAAACAAAACTGTGGCATGGAATTCTTGAGTATATACCTCAGTAATGGAATGAATATGCAAGTATTTCTGATCATTAATTCTTAATCAGTTGAGGGCAATACCTCCAATTCCTACATGCCAGGTATGAACAACTGATGCTAAAATATTCCCATTTCTAAGAATGTGTAGCCCTTTACTTCAATGGTAGGAACTATGCTAGGGAAGAAAAGCTTATCATCTGAGCCATCGCGAGTGGATCTCTGAAGAAATATGGGAGAAGATAAGCAGAAGGACTGAGGGGAATGCAGTCAGAGAAGGAAAGGCACTGACTGTAGAGGATGGAGCAGGAACAGAGTCATAGAGGACTAAAGCAGACTGATAAGATCGGGAGACTGTCCAGCAAATTGATAAGCCTGGAACATAAATGCAAGGAAAAGAATTAAAATAATGTTTAGATGCCTTATTAAGGATGGTCATGTAAGCCATAATAAGAAGGTTATGTATTATTTGAATTATATCCCATTCGGTAAGAGAAATGAGTGGAAGCTTTTCATCATGAGCATATGATAGGCAGATACTGTGTGTGTGTGTGTGTGTGTGTGTATGTTTATTGATTTTAGAGGGAATGGTAGAGAGAAAGAGAGGAAGAAGGGGGGAGAGAGAGAGAGAGAGAAGAGGGGGGGAGAGAGAGAGAGAGAGAGAGAGAGAGAGAGAAACATTGACTGGTTGCCCTTCATAAGGACCCAGATCAGAATGAACCCACAGCCTAAGTATGTCCTGACCATGAATGGAATTTGCGACTTTGTGTGTGCAGGTTGGCATTCCAACTGAGCTACACCGGCCAGGGCTACAGATTTATATTTTATATATTCCATACAAAAGCATAGAAGATGGATGCAAGGGGCCAAGCCAGCTTTAGAGTGACCAATTAAGACGTTAATGCATTAGTCTGGACAATAGATCATGAAGGCCTTACCTAGAGTAGTAGCAATTGAGCTGGAGAAGACACTAGTACATTTAAGAAATATTAGATGAGTGAACTCAGAATTAAGAGGTTAATTGGTGGTGCTTAGGCTGACTCCAATTATATAAATGAGAAGACGTTGCAGATGGTAGAGTTACTATTTAAAATACAGATGGAAGAAAGAGGGGTGCGGAAAAGGGATGTATAAACTGAGAGGAGTAGGAGAAGAACTAGGAACAGATGATATTATATAATTGGAAAAAATAAAGAGCATGAAGAAGAAGGAACTAATTATCAATTGTCAATGTACGTGAGAATCCAATGAAAAATGGATTAAATTGGGCCCATTGGTGTTGGCAGTTAGGTGGAACTGGTTATCTTTGCTAGATGAAATTCCATGACATGATGAAGGTAGAAAATAAATAATAATTGAATTTTAAATCCCTCCTCCATCCTCAAAATTGGTCTCATAACCCACTTCTTGTCACAGGTCCCTGTAGACATAATATGGGTTATAGGAATAGACAAGCAACATGTGTTGTTGGGTCCATAGTGGGAATGTAGTTTACTTTTATGATTTTGACATACTTCACTGAGAAGAGAATGTGATGAGAATGGTGGTAGATATTGGAGAGAGAGATGAAAGGAAAGAAAATAAGAAAAGTCAAAGGAAGGCCATTTAGGATGGAAAATGATAAAGTGTGTTATTTATGTTTTATCTTTACAAATTGAATGGCTAGCATTTCATTACTGATTGAAAGACATAATTAACTCCTCCAACAGAACCCATCAAAATTTTTAAAAAATGGTTAAAAGTGTTCTGCCCCAAACCCTAATAATCCCATTTCTGTGTGTCAAATTACTTCCTAGGACCCATTCAGTGGACTCAATAGTGTCTTTATTCATCTCCCTTGATTTTGTAATCTCTGTTAGCCTTTCAAGACACCAAAAAACAGACAAACAAACAAACAAAACAAAAAACTACAGACTAGGTGGCGCAGACAACAGACATTTATTTTTTCCAGTTCTGAAACACAGTAGTCCAAATCAAGAGTGTAGCAAGTTTAGTTTTTTAAAACCCTTTCCTCTTTGTTTTCAAATGCCTACCCTCTTGCTGTGTCCTCACATGAACTATTCTCTCTGCAAGCACATACCCGGTGTCTCTTTGTGTGTCCAAATTTTATCTTCTAAAAGGACACCAGTCAGATTTGCTTAGGGCCCAGTCCAATAACCTTATTGTAATTTAATACCCCCCTTAAAGGACTTAGCTCCAGGTACTTCACATTCTGAGGTACTGAGGGTTAGGGCTTCATATGAATTTTGTGTCAATACCCTTCAGCCCATAACACCATCTGAATGTAATTCTCTAAGATTTTGCTGATTTGCTCTCTTATTTTACATATTCATTATTACAGCAGTCAAGTTGTTTCTCTATTACAAGGACTTAAGCACTTTATATCCAAATCGTCATCACGCCTAACAAGTGCCTGTGTCTGCTCATTCTCATGGTATTATAGGCAGGCTATTTTTTTTTTCTTACTCAATACGATGTTCCTATGATTGTCATGAACTTTCACAGCTGCCTGCACTGACTGTTGTACTGACAGGATTGGGGCCGCACCAGGACATCTTTGTTACCTCATTGCAAATGAATATGAAGAGGCTGCGGAGAAGTTGAATTTGACAGTCTGAAATGAGAAGCTAACTCTCAGGAAATGTTAGCACTGGAGCAAATATCTGTCAGTAATTAGCTAAATCCTGAGACATGGCGAAAACAATCTGGTAAAGAGAGAAAAAAAAAGAAATGGATATCAGACTTTAAGGAATATGTACATTTAAGGAATATGTACCTCATATGAGGCTGCTGTAAATAAAATAGCAAGGTTGGCAAGAAAATTATGATCAAACAGTGGCAAATAAGCCAAGAAAAAAAGAGTTTCAATGAAATTTTTAGTGTTAGCTCTGTTTAAATCGAATTCCTATACACCAGTTGATTATTATAAAGACAAATCATTCTAAATATCTGTGTATATTATTTAACATTATGCAAATATGAGATTTCATAAAACGATATATAACTGAAATGTTAATTTTCTTTTTAGGAGAATCTTAAAATGCTCATTTTTAATTAACCAATGCTTAGAGGAGATAAGCCTGTTAGAGCATATGGAAGTCTACATTTTCATGAATTTTATATTTTTTTGCTCTGGGCCTTTGTTTTAAATTTTAATGAATTCATTAAAGAAAAATATATGGTTGTTAAAATAAACAGAAATAGGATTCAAGGTTATGTTAGTGTTCCAGAGATATTTAACAAGAATGGATAGCAAGAGCCATTTATGATAATCTAACTTTATAAAAGTTTCATAGTACTGAAGATTCATTTTCCCGGTGACACAAATTACACACTTGTGACCTGGAACAGTGATAGTTTTTTAAAAGCTAATTAAGTTAAATTGTTATTAAAACTGGTATACTAAAGTACATACAGGAAAAAATTAAGAATATTTGATACTGTTTATTAAAAAAGAAGTATTAGGGATTAATGAAGAGCAGTTTACATAGAAGACTGTTTTAACTAAACAATACAGAAAAATTAAAATTCAGTTTTCATCAAATGAACAGAATTGCTTTGAATGTGAGTGCAATCAAGCAGGCAGACTTGAGTATAATTAACCAAGAAAGAGGGTGGTTTTACAAGTGGGATGGCCAAGTATCAAATGTGTGTGTGTGTGTGTGTGTGTGTGTGTGAGAGAGAGAGAGAGAGAGAGAGAGAGAAAGAGAGAGAGGGTAGGTGTATAGTTTAATAATTTGTTTGAATACGGTGAGAAATGACTTTTAAGTCTTTTTTGCTTTCTCTTCTTATATCAACCTAATTTTTGGTAATAAACTCTTGAGGCGTATAACTGTGTTCAAACATTCTAAATACACTAGAAAAGCTGGTGCTCATAGACAAATTTTTCTCCATGAATTTCTTCAATTTTAAGGAACACATTTCTTCAACATGATTTGTGCAGCTGGACCTAGCGTTCAATATGTTTATCACTCTCTCTCTTTTTCTCTGCTCGTACCTCCTGTTCCTCCCTCTCAGTTTTTGTTATTGCAGCTTCTAGATTTAAGAAAATAGAATCTGAAGCATAGCTTGTACATATCAAAGAAACCCTGTTTATTCCTTATACTATGTTAACAGGAAACTGTTACTTCTTGATAGGTATATTAATCTGAGAAATTATGAGTAACAAAACCATAAAAAACACAATTTTTTTCCTATCTTGAAAATCGACCTGCATATACTAATGGATGGGAAGAGAAGGAGGTTAGCCTTTCTGGATGTGATGAATTAAAGTAATTGAAAAAAAAAGAATTTATATTTAACAGTTTACACTTTATTTTCTTGGTTTGTACAATACTTTAAAGCTTATTACCATAGTTTTAATTTCTTTACTTTTTAATATTGCATTAATATATTATTTTTGACAGGCTAGCTACTTAAATCTAGTTCTTTTCACAGGCTTTATTTTAAAACAATATAAAATATAGGTACGTTTTGATTCAACACTAAGAGAGATCAAATAAGAAATTATAAATGAATAGTGTTGTTTTCATTTCTATGCCTCTTTCTCAGTATGCTCATTCATTTACCCATATATATGCATTAAAGATTTTAGAATTTGAAAATTAAATTAATCTCTGATCTTCAAATGATATAAAATGATATTAATTTTTGATATAAACAAATATATTTCTCTCTTATATCATGGTTTTGCTTGCTTTACATGTACTTACTACCTATATTGTAACAGGTGGTTATTTCCCACTAAAATATATTGGCTTCCTTCCTTCAGAGAAGCTAAAACCTAGTGGGGAGAATGTCTAAACAATGAAAAATACAGCAATACAGAAGGTCAAGGGCCAAGAAAAAGGCTGTGTATGAGCCCATATATATTTTAAGTTGCAAATGATGACCTTATGCTGTTTTATATGAAAACAAATGTCATAAAAATAATGTATCTGTTTATTATAGAAGAAATTCATGTCTAATATGGGAAAGTTAGAAATTTGATTTAAGTGAAAGAAAAAAATATTCTAGATGGTTGTTATCCAGTATTCATCATTGTTACTTCCAATTTAATAACTCTGTAGATAGCTTTACTAAATACCATAATATTGTGCATATTTTATAGTAATGTGTCTTTTCACTCATTATATCACAACTGTTATTCCACCCACACCTCTGAGACCTCTGACACATCTTAGTCAGATTTTGGAGGTGTCTATTTTGAATTATTTTCAAGATAGAGAGTCCCAGGTTAGTTACAATTTTGTCTTTATAGATTAGTAGACATGCTAATGTGGTAGAATGGACCTGTATTACTTGGTGGTTCTGATATGAAGCTTGGCTTGATGAATAAAGTCTGCATGTTACTGTAAAGGGATTTTTATAGATGCGATTAACATTTAAATAACTAGACTTTCGGTAAATCAGATTATCCATTATAAGGTAGGAGGACACCGTCCAATCAGATAAAAGCTTTAAGAGAAAGCACTGAGTGAGGTCCCTTGAGGAAGAGAGATTCTTTCTCCAGACTGCATTTGACTCAAGACTGAAACTTCATCTATCCCTGCAAACTACAGTTGTACCTTTTCTCAACATGTCTGTAGCCCTTAGATTTGATTTACCGCTAACCATTATCTGGCCCCTCATAATATCTGGACATGTGAATAGATAGTTTAGGGAGAGATAAATTTCCAGGTGGGAAGACCAGATCGCAATCAACCAAATTTTGTAATGAAATTATTCACCTACAGTAATTTCTTAGGCAGGCCTGCATTTTATATGAAGTTTTCTTTCATTACTAGAAAGACAGTAATATTGAATCAGCTAGTTAAGTATGAGACACATGAATAATTGGAAAGCTGACAGTGTAATGGGAAGACTACACTACATAAACTTTCATCAATTATGGTTTGACTTAACGGAGTTAGAAATCAAAATGGCTCACTTCTTCATCTTTACTTACTAATGCTGTGTTCTCAACTCACTTTCAAGGAAGCAACATAAATTTCATAATGTTCACACATGTTAAAAGCCCTGTTCCAAATGTTTATCCTAGAAGCTATCGCACTTGTTCTGGATAAATGGAATTTTCTTTTCATGTTTCTTTTGCTTATTTATTATGCAGCGTATTATAACCTCTAAATGGGAACATGAAGTACAAGAACAGTTGAATCATTTTCTGGAAATTACACTAATACAAACGAGTAAACAAAATTGTATTTTCGATGACATATAAAATGGCACAAATTTTAATGACCTTCTTATCTTAGTGAGACACTTATTAAGGATTAGTAATTTAGAAGACCTTGGAATTATTAACCTCTGTTATGCATTTTCGAAGGACAGATTATGAAGACTTCTTTCTCTCCTTGATCCTAAATTGAGGGGATAATTTTGAATAGAAAAATTTCACATGTCCTCAATACTCTCTGCTTGGGAGAGTTTGACACTTCAGAAGTCATAGCTCTTTCAAAAGTGGTTAGCACTTTTATAAACAGGTATTCTAAAGAAGATCCTGTCAGCTGCTCCTAAGGAAAATTCACAGCTGCTTGCTAAACCCCACCCCTTGGATGGGTAATTATCAAGTGTCACTTTTAATGCCCTGGTAGTTTGGAATACTGCAGCCAAATATCCCCACCAAGTAGCATGAGGTTTCCTCTAGCAACCAATGTTGGATCTTCGCCTAGCCATAATCCTGGCACATATGTATGCCTTTTCCGTTATTTTAAGCTGTTTGTGCCACTTGACTACATACCAATGAACAACAAAATTCTGGCACATCATGTAGATTAAATACTCTTCCTGAGATCTACCATATCTACTGATGATCTGCTCCTCAGAATGGGCAGGAGCCTTCTTACTATTTCATTTACTATTAAAACCAGAAACCATGTCATTAGCCCAGGTTACACTCTTAGACTCTGAATGGTTCATCATTTGTGTCAGTCGAAGAGGTTGTTTGGATCAGGGATAATTTCTCCCAAAAGAAATACATCCAGCCTGAGAAGTAGGAGGTCAGGATAGGCATGAACGAAAACTATTGTGAAGATAATACAAGAATAGCATGGTGTGTGTGTTTATGTGTCTTTGCTTTAAAACAATTGAAAACAGTAATCTAAGTAATCGTAATTAATTTTTTGTACAGAAAATAATGTAAGGGCTTTTAGGTATTTTGGTGAATATTAACATCTTAATTTTTTACTTCATATTGTTTTCTGTGACTTAAGCACAATGTGAATATCACAAAGGTAATATAATTGTTAACAGCAAGATAATTTGCTTTTGTATTTAATGATAATATCCAACATATTATAAAATCTTGAATAAAATTTCCAAAAACTAAAGCCACATTAAGCAGCAGTGATTACTAGAAATATTGGATTATTTTTACATGACTCTTGTAAAAAATTAAAAAAAAACATTTGGATTATGACATGTGTTTTTTTTTGTCCCAAAAGACCAAGTTTAATTGCTATTAACTTATAGAAACTTTTTAAATATAAAAATTCAAATATCTAAAGAAAACGTGCAAAAGAGTGGCTTTACTATTACATGTCATTATTCTTCTTTTTGTCTTTCAGGAATACACAATTGATATTATTTTTGCCCAAACCTGGTTTGATAGTCGTTTAAAATTCAATAGTACCATGAAAGTGCTTGTACTTAACAGTAACATGGTTGGGAAAATTTGGATTCCTGATACTTTCTTCAGAAATTCAAGAAAATCTGATGCTCATTGGATAACGACTCCTAATCGTCTGCTTCGAATTTGGAATGACGGGCGAGTCCTATATACTTTAAGGTGGTACTGTTCTAAAAAGTGTCATTGCTCTAACTTAGTTTTCATGCTAATATTTGGTCAACTCATGAATTTCCCCTTTTTAAAGTTGCAGAGTAAGTAAGAATTATGGTGCTCCTTTTATACATTAAAATTAGTATGGTAACATTTTTTTTAAAAAAACTCAAGTTCAGAGTAACACAGTGATTTTTTTTATAATGTAGTAAAAAAGTCCTTAAGAAAAGATTAAATGAATGCTGATGTGTACTATTCAGGTTTATCTAATTCATTGTCATGAGCATATCTAATGGGTTATTCTTAAGGATAACCCATAATGGAAAGATGTTCATGATAAGTTAAGAGAAAAACTTATCATACTTAACCATGTACACTCTGCTAATTGTTTGTGTGTGTGCACATGCACAAGCCCATATGTATGTGTATTGATCCCCTGAAGCACAAATTTTTAACTGTAAAAAGACATTCTACTAACTGGATACAGAGATAGTTTAGTTGGCTAGAGAGGGAAATGTTAGAATTATCTAACTCATTTATGAATGTTATAATATTGCCACTTAAGATTTAAAGATTATAGCATTATTATTTCCTAGTATATCAAAGTTCATTATTGTAGGCCAAAATTATGCTTGACAATTAGAGAAAATATTTACAATATTTGAAATTACTTCTCATTTTTAATATTTATTTTTTCCATCTAAATAGATTGACAATTAATGCAGAATGTTATCTTCAGCTTCATAACTTTCCTATGGATGAACATTCCTGTCCACTAGAATTTTCAAGCTGTAAGTGATAAAATACATAATAATTTCTTAGATCAACAGATATATAGAGACTAATGAGAATGACAAAACAACATATCAAAATGTCTGGGATGTAGCGAAAGCAGTAATAAGAGGGAAGTTTATATCATTACAGGCCAACCTCAAGAAACAAGAGACAGTCCAAGTAAAAAACCTAACATTAAATCTTAAAGACCTAGAAAACAAAGAACAAAAATGACCCAAAATCAACCTTAGCAAGGAAATAGTAAAAATTAGAGCCGGATTAAAGGAAATAGAGAACAAAAGGACTACACACACACAAAAAATTAATACAACAAAGATCCGATTCTTTGAAAAGATTAATGAAATGGACAAACCCCCGGCTGACTCACTAAGGAAAAAAGAGAAAAAACTCATATAAACAAAATTGGAAATGAAATAGAAGTTACCACAGACATCACAGATGTACAAAGGTTCATACTAGAGCATTATGAAAGACTATATCCCACCAAATTCATTAACTTAGGAGAAATGGATAAATTCCTAGAAATATATTACCTTTCTAGACGGAATCATAAAGAATTTTAAAAGCTAAATAGACTGGTCAATAGAGAGGAAATTAAAACAACCATCAAAAACCTCTCAAAATATAAAAGTTGAGATGGCTTCACCAGTGAATTCTACCAAACATTCAAAAAAGATTTAATACGTATCCTGCTCAAACTTTTCAAAAAAATAAAAAATAAAAAATGAAGAAGTATTATCAAACTCCCAGTCTCCTGACCAAACTCCCA